TATGTGTTTTTTTATGTATAATTGCATGTTTTGAGTACTTTTTCTTTTAATTACTCATTTTATTCATTTTAAGTTTCATTTATTTTATTTAATTTTGATGATTATTTATGAGGCATTTAAATGCCAATTTGTAATAGATAGGTACTCAAGACATGTATTTAGATAGATTATGATAGATAGATTTTAATTAGAAATTTAAGAAATAATAACCTAAATATTACATTTAGAAATTTAAGAAATAATAACCTAAATATTACATTTATCTAACTAATTATATTTTTGCTAAAAAAATATAATTAGTTAGATAAATGTAATATTTAGGTTATTATTTCTTAAATTTCCTCCTTTTAGATTGTAATTAGGGTCCTGAATGTAATAGTTAGACTTTTATTTGCGTTTATTTGCTTGTGTGCTTACATACTTGTGTGCTTACATGTTTATTCGTTTTCACTAGGGTTTTGCATCTAGAAATTATGCCTATATGTTATATGTTCCATGTGCATTATGTATTTATTTGCTTTAATTATGTTTGATATGATTTATTTAGTTATAATAAATGCATAACGTCTCCACACTAGTCCAACGCTAGTTATGGCCATTCTCTCCGATTTCTCACTAGTCCAATACTAGTGAAGACTTGTAGAAATGGGCTAGTCCAATGCTAGATTCTTTAGACCATTTTCGCGCTAGATTCACACTTTTTGCGTAACATTCATCGCATTTCATACATATTTTGTATTTTTAGGATATTTTCTCATCTTACATGATATTTCCTATATATTATTTCCCCTAATCCTATGTGCGTGAAACATGACATTTAGACTTGTATTAGAAGTAGGCTAGTCCATTCGCTTAACTAGGTTAGAGAGTCACCCTTCAAATATGGGAAATGGACAAGTGTGACTTCTTAGTTTTAGCACGTTCTCATCCCCTCTATAAAAAGGAAAAACGAGTTACGAATCTTAGTCCCCCGTACCTATTATGTTGCATTCCTCTCCTTTAGGTCACGTATATTTATATATTATAATTCTTCTTTTTCTTTGAGTCTCATTTTTGCATATTCGTGACCTCTTCTAAAAATCATTTTTGGGCATCATAATTAATTTGATTTGCACCAATTAGATTTTGAAAGATATTTTGACCCTCTCGATATCCATTAGGTCTAGATTTGCATCAATATAAAAACATCCAACTGTGATAAGTTTTACAGGTTAGATTAAGAAAATTTTCGACTAAATCTCGCAACTAAGCTTGGTTAGGTTGAAAGGGTTGTTTAGATTTGATTTTATCAAATCTTTACCTTCTCTTTCGTCAACCGTGACTCCCGAACTTTTTTCTCTTGTTTTTCGAAAACCTGGAGTGGTCTAAAAAGGGTTTTATTTATTTTTTAAAACATATTTTGGGTGATTTAGTACAACTTAACTCAATACCAATTTAAAACCCTTTTTAGACTATTATTTTGGGTTTAAACCGTCGCACTTTCTAAGTCCCATTTTAGACCCTTTATTTTTATTTATTTTCTAAAATCAAAATCCCATTTTCTTTCTTTTTATTTTTGCAAATATTTAAACTAAAACAAAAACTAATCAAGAACTAAAACTCATTTCTTTATTCATCTTTTAATAAAAATTACATTTTTATACTCCAAATATTCTTTAAAATATAAAAATCATTTTTTTAATCATTAATTCATTTTCTTTAACCAACTAGTAAGATTTTATTTTTTCAAAAAATCAAAAACTCATTGAGAATAAAAACTAATTTTCAAATAAATTTATTTATTCATTTATTTATTTTTTCCAAAAAAATGGGGTGCGATATTACGCATTCTTCAGATTCTGCTACAGGAGTGTATCCATTCTCTTTCTTTCACATAGTCTCCTACTATGGCCACATTAGCCTACATGTAGAGGCCTAAAGCTAGTTGAGGGAACTTGATCCCATATAAGGCCTCAAAAGGACTTATCTGTATGGCATTGTGGTATGTAATATTATACCACCACTCTACCACAGATAACCAAGAGTTCCATCTTTTAGGTTCTAGGTGGGACATACATCTAATGTACATTTCCATAACTTGATTGACTCTTTCTGATTGACCATCAGTTTGAGGATGGTAAGTAGTACTCAAACTCAATTCAGCACCCAATAAAGAGAACAACTTAGTCCAAAATTGACTAACAAAGATCTTGTCTCTATATGAAACCATGCTTTGGGGATTTCCATGTAACTTCTATCCTATGATCCATGAAAATTCTGGCCACTTTAGGTGCATCAACGGGGTGGAACAATCTAACAAAATGGGCATACTTGGTGAATCTATTTACTACCACTAGAATTGAGTCTTTCCCTTCCAAGTTAGGCAATCTCTCAATGAAACTCATGGTGATATGGCTTTAGGAGTGCTGTGGTATAGGACGTGGTTGCAGCAACTTAGGATAGGCAACATGCTCATCCTTACATTTCCTGCAGGCTTCACACTGCAATACTTCATTCCTAATCTCTTTATACAACCCTGGCCAGTGGAATAGTTGCTTGGCTCTCATGAAGTTGGCTTGAATCCCTGAATGACCACCTAATTGAGAGTCATGAAGGGCAGTAATAAGCTTCTTTCTTATATCTCCACCCATCCCAACATATACTTGTATTCCAATATGCTACTTTGATAGCTATAATCTAGAACCTAGCCTTGGGTCACCATTACCTCGCTAATGAGATTCTAAGCCTACTCATCTCCTTGGTAGCTCTCTGATACTTCTTTCATCCATTTTGGTACCATAGTTGTTATGGCTGAACACTCAACTTCCTTTACTTTTTCCCTCCTGAAAAGTGCATTTCCTTTCCCTTTTTGTAATGAATCTCATAACTCAACCCCATAAATTCGATCAGCCATTTCTTTTGAAGTGAAGTAGTGATCCTTTGCTCTAATAGATACTTTAAGCTCTGGTGATCAGTGTTAATTATGAAATGGTGGCCCTTCAAATAGTACCTCTGTTTGGTGATAGTTGTGACTAGAGCCAGTAGCTCATTCTCATATATTGATAATCCAAGGTTCTTCTGCCCTAAACTCTGACTCAAAAAGGCCAATGGTTTTTTGTTCTGCATGTGCCTAGCACCTAATCCTCTATAACAAGCATATGTTTCAATCACAAATTGCTGAGTGAAGTCAAGAAGGGCTATTATAATCCTCTATAACAAGCATATGTTTCAATCACAAATTGCTGAGTGAAGTCAGGAAGGGCTATTATAGGTGTACTGCACATAGCTAGCTTGAATTTCTCAAATGCTTCCTCAGCATCAATACCCCACTTGAAGCTGTCCTTCCTTAGCAAAACTGTTAAAGTTTTGGCAATGGCCCCATAGCTCTTGACAAATTTCCTATAGTAGCTAGTCAAGCCAAGGAATCCCTTTAACTGTCTGACATTATCAGGTCTTGGCCACTGCATCAGGCTCTCTATCTTCTTGGGATCAGCTCTCACTTCTTTTGTTGTGATAATGTGTTCTAGTTATTCCATCTATGACTGAGCAAAGGAACACTTACTCCACTTTGCATACAACTAGTATTGTCACAGGATACCCAAGACCTCAGTATCATGTTCTATATGATTTTCCAGAGTTGGGCTGTACACTAGTATATCATCAAAAAATACCAGGACATGTTTTCTCATCTGGTCTTTGAATACATGGTTCATTAGACTCTAGAAAGTAGTCGGGGCATTGGTCCGCCCAAAGGACATGACCTTGAACTCATAGCGGCCCTAGTGAGTTTTGAAGACTGTCTTGGGAACGTTCTCTACCTTCACTCTAATATGGAAATAGCCAGCTCTCAGGTCTATTTTAGTGAAGTACTTGGACTCATGCAACTCATCCAGAAGTACTGCACCTCACTAATTTCTCCAATTAGTTCCATTGGTTGTTTTCCCTTCTAGAACTTCATGTTTAGCTTTTTGAAATCAAATTCCGCGAGGCTATACCTTCCTAACCAATCTACTCCTAACACCAAATCACAACTACCCAGCTTCAAGGTGTTGAACTAGTGCTGGAATTCATACTCCTAAAACCAAATCTTTTGCATGGATTTTAGGTTCTTTTCCTGTAGTTTTGCTGTTTCTATAGCATCTACCAGGGTTGCAGGTTTAGCCAGTTTGACCATGTTAACTATTTCATCTTTCAGTCTACTCAGGAAACATGATTTGTAATAAGTATCTGACAAGTTGGGTAAAGAGGGCATTACTAGGGCTTTTAGCAACTCAAATTTTTCCAGGTAATCAACTATGGAACTAATATGTACTAGTTTGTTAAACTTTCAATGGCTTCTTCTGGTTCCTTCTCCAAATCTTTCAGACATAGCAACTGATAACTCAGGCCATGGAATTAAACTTCCGCCACTGAACATTCCATGGAACCAAATATCTACCTTGTCCCTAAAGTATAGTTCTACAATTTCTGACTTCATTTCTTCCTTTACACCATGGATCTAGAAGTACTTGTTAGCCTTTCGAACCCATTTCCTCGGGTTCTCCCCATCAAAATTAGGCAATTCCATCTTAGGCAATCTGCCTGTGTTTTTTGGTTCTGACTTCCCCATAATCTTTTTTTGTACTTCCATCTTCCCATTCCCTTCTTTGTACCAATCCCAGAACTACTTCTCTCGATCTCCTTCCCTTTGTCATTTAGCCCGAAGCATCATAGCCATCATCCCTTCATATTTCTGATCTAAATTTTTTAGTGCCTTTTTAGTATTTTCCTGTCTATACTCCATAGCTCTCACAACTTGCTCCAACCCATCATTTTTGGTCGCATAAGTTCTCATTACACTCCCTAGCTCAGTGAGATCTTTTCTTAATGCTTCATCTTGTGATTTAGTGATCCCTATGGCTTGTAGCTGAGCTCTGATATCATTGGAATGGCGTAAAAACTGGCCTGAGTAAAATTTAAAGTTGACAATGAAAGTCAATCAAACAGTAATTCTAACCAAAAAATTAAGAGAATCTCCATTTCCATTAATGAAACTTCCAGTAATGAATACAAAGCAGATAATATGGATTAAGTTAAGAAGATGGAGAGAAATGAAGGAAACTTGGGAAAGGGAAAAAAAGAGAGAGAATATCCCAAAACTCTCGCTACAAAATCCGGAAAAATGATCAAAAGCGACTCATTACAAAGAAATTCTGCTTATACTATAATTTCTCTAACTAACATTCAATTTTGGCTACTAAAACTCTGACACGTGGCTGTCTGAGCCAACCGTTGAAGTGGTCCTCGGTTCAGGCGAGCAATCAGCATTCAGCAATGTGATTTTTCCAGTGAAAGCGTGCTTGCCTTCACAATGACTCTGCTTGCCAACGTTCACGCTTTCAGCTCCATCTGTCACGCTTTCTTCATTTCCTTTCCTGATTGACACTTCTAAGCTACTGATCGATCCTCCTACTCCATCAAGGACAGCGGGGACTATGGATGGCTTTGCCTTGAGGGCGAGCTTGGGAGGCGGAGTAGAAATGAATTAGATCAAAGGCGGAGCTATTGATGATTAACCAAGGTATTTTGGGTATTTGAAGAGATATTGTCTGGCAGGAAATTCATAATCCGATGGCGAGGCTTTTATCAAGAACATTCAAATCCCTCAAGCCCCATCACAACATCAATCCTTGCCCTAAACCTCTTCTAAAGGCTCCAACAACTTCAGTGGCAACCCCATCAAAATCGGAATTCTCTTCATCATCACCATCGTTGAAGACAGCGCCTGAAGTATCATCTTCGAAATCGAAATCAAGATTATCAAAATCATTGAAGAATTCTTGGTCTGTGTATCTGATTCTATCAACCAATCCGCCGATCAAGACTTATGTTGGGGTAACCACCAATTTCTCTCGCCGGTAATTCTCTTCTTTAGGACTCTGTTTCTTTCCGAAATTTGCTGATTTTGTTTCGGAGTTTGCGACTTGAAGGATTTCCTTTTGTTGTTCTTCGAGAAAGAATTTTGGAATTTCTGTGATTCTCATGAATTGGTAGGGATTCTCATGAATTTTGGGTATTTGAGGGTGTTTGATGGGATTGAATACATATTTTGTTGAAATTGAAATGAGGGTTTTTGTGGATTTCTGATGGAATGCAATTGATATTTTGTAATGATTGGACAGGGAAAGTTATGGATTTTGCTGGGTTTCTTGTGAATGCAAATATTGTTGTTCTTGAAATTATGAATTCTGGCTTGCTTGCGGGTTTCTGATGAGAATAAGATTTCTTGTTCTTGGGAAACTGATGTTTGAGGTTTTGTTGGTTTCTAATGAAATTGAATATATATTTTGTTGTTGTTGATAAAAAGAATTATTTTTGGGGGTTCTCTGAGGAAATTGAACCCGCGTGACGGGTTTCCTAATTTATTTCCTCAAAAATTCTTGTGTCATGAATTATGATCCTTGGTTTTGATATTGAGTGTCATTAAATCTGGTTTTGATAGGAAAGGCACTTAAGCGACTAAAACCTGAGCTTATAGCTATTAATATGATTGAATTGTGATGTACATGAAGGTGAACTTGACCCAAGCAATTTGATGAAGATCAGATTTGACAGCTGCTGTTGTTTGACCATGTGCAGCCATTACTGGGTATCTTAGGTCTTTCAAAATGTGGAATGGAAGCCAGATTGTTTTTTCTGATTAATGACTTTGTCCTTCAATAGATAATTAAATGGTTAATATAGGTATCTGATGAGCAATTTTACTGAATAACCTTACACAATGGCTGGTACCAGAGTAATTGATTGTCTAGGATTAATAGTAAGATTGCCACGAACCAAAAGGAGTTTTTCTTTCCACATTTGAGGTGAAGTAAATTTTCTTTTTTTTTTAATACCAATATTTCTACAAAACTGAGTAGGTAAACTCTGAATTTAAGGATTTGAGGCACTTAAGTAGTTATAATTGAGGGTTGTTTCAACCTCTGCAACTTATTTTTTTACAGCACGTGCTATGTAAATCTCAGAAGTGACTTCAGAATTCCTGTTTCATACCCCTTTTTCCCATACCTGTTGCCATCCCCTATTCTACCATTGTTGTGTCTCGCACCGCAAACTGAAAATTTGTGTAAAGTGCTCCTGTTCAGTTTGTGTTTCGCTGCATGATCTACATTTCATGTATTACCTATTTATGTTTTCTGTTCTCCAATTCCCACAATTTATGTTCAGTACATTTCATGTATTACCTATTTCTATGTCCCTTTGCTGGCTGTGGAGCCATTTTCTTTTGGATGGCTTTTTGAAAGGAACAATTACCCTAGATTTTGATTGATTTAAGAGAAATGAATACGCCCTGCCATTTTATGGCAGAATACTTCCTGTCTATAAGATCTCTCACAAATTGGTATCTTTCCCACCTTATTCACTACTGAATTTGTCATAGGCAGGTTTGATAGAAAAAAAAGTAGTCAATCAGGATAGGTAGGTTTAAGAAGAGCAAGTTTACTCTACTTTTTATTCAGCATTATAAAGCTTGCTGGCTGCAAGCTTACTTTAAAGCTTTATAGAGAATAATTAAGGATCTCTGGACATGCACCACTTTTAGGTTCTGATTCTTCGAGTTTAGCTTTCAGAGGAACCTGCTGAACCACGTTGTTATCCTAGTCAGATTCCTATTTGTTGCATATTTTAGCCTCCTCACCAGATTTTTATTTCAATAGTAAGTGAAACATTAAAGCTTGTAACCAGGTTCATATCTGCTTTTCCTGTCATTTTGTTAAAGGCTTATTAAAGCCTTTGACATGAACAAGGGTAAGACTAGAACCCTAACTTCTGACATAGAGATTCAAAAAAATTAGTACTTATGACAAATAAAACTTCCACTTTGTTTCTGGAAGCATGCTTCTCTCATCAAACCCAAGCTCCAAGCCCATGGGACACTTTTAAAAGGGATGGCTGGTCAACTGCCTTGGTAAATATGACCAGGAAGATCGTCGAAACTCAAACCTTAGGAATGGTTGGGTAAAGGTCACTTCTATTAGGAAGAGGAAATCACCTTAGGGTAAAGGATTCTAGAGACTAAGGCAAGGGGGCTGGGAGTATTTTCTTTTTTAGGGAGTGTTTGATCCCTACGAGGTTCATCCTAATAACTCGTTGCCTTGTATTGTCCCTAATGAGCAAAATAGGGAAAGGTTATAGAGAACTTGCAGGGCAAGATTTTAAAACACAGACCATTCATTGAACCGAAAAATTTATCAGGTCACGAGTCGCTGGTTCAACCATTTTGCTGACCGTTATTGACCCGTAACATTGTAATTAAATAAAAAATAAATTATATATTACTATGTTTATCATATCTGCAATCTGCACATCCCTTTATAAAGGCTAAGACACATGATCATAACTATAGTCCTTTTGCTAATAAATTTATAATAAACCAAAATAAAAGAAAATCAAACATAAAAAGGGCCATAACTATATCAATGCAAAAAGCTACCATTAAAGCAAAAATAGTGCATACAATCACCAAACAAAGTTTAAGGAATAAATCCTTTTAGACAACAAGTGCAACATGTGCTAGTAGATATAAAATAAAAACTATGCCAAAACTGGTAGAAAGATGACTTATACAACAATACTCATGGCATACTAGGCCAGTGCTTAGGTACACAAACTAGTTAATATCCATGAGAGGCATCTCAAGTCAAGCCACAATATTGGGAAAGTCAAAACCACTTGTGCTACTGTCTCCAGTATCGTTATACCTGTTAGCCTCTTTTAAATCATCAAACTTGTCATAAGATGAGAAGTCCATACCATCATCTAATGCTTAGCCATATTAGGGCCCATAGCCTTTGTTTGATAAGAGCTGTAACATGTGCCTGTGACGAGCAAATGTCCAAGGAAACCAACTGATCCAAGACATCTAAGAACTGAAAGCCCACAACATATACAGGCCTCATGTTTTCTAAGAGGTGGCACGTCGAACAAGGATTGAGCAAAGGTGAAACTTCGACAACTTGTCTTTCTTCCACTATTTAAGAAAAGAGCCATTTGTACTTGCCACATTCAGACAAAATTTACCTAGTACGTGTTCTTAGGATGTTGAAGATGAAAAAAGTACATCAAGCTCATATGAAGTTTTACCATGAGCAGATTGTAGCCATTGAGCAAATCATAGGTTTGGTGCATGTTGGACATGCCCTAGGGTGGCAAGTTGATGCCATGTTGTACATTTCACATTGGGCAACAAACGTCATGTGTACTGGGCAATGGGGTGTTCTGGACTCCTAAGGAATTGGGAGTGTAGGCCTCCAAAGCCATAGTGTGCGTCACGTGGCATAGCAGATAGGCAGCCTGAGTGCTAGCAATAAATACATCAAGCAAAGTTGTGTTTACATTTGCAACTAAGAATCTTCAATGTCAATTGCTAGGTTTGAATATTATTATAATATTCCTTTATTACCACAATTGAAAACTTTGCTACCATAATTTTATTGTATCTACTTGTTACTTGTTTTAAGTGCAAAAATGATGCATTTCAACTAGTTTGCGAAAGTAAGGGTTTCGCTGTTGTGGAAGTTGTAGGAGGCAGTTTATTAAACAAAGGAACAAAAGTGAATATTGAAGAGCTGGCTGACTCTTTAGTAGGCCGAGATGAGGAGGTTTGTAGGTCATTTTCTATTAAGAAAGCAGTTGACACCATAGACAAGGTATAAGAAAGGGGATTTGATGAGGGGTAGCCAGCCCAACCAACTCAAAAAGGTGGTTGATTGGAAGATTAGTAATCAAGGTCCTCTAGGCTAAGGTGAGCCTATTTGCTGAATCCCCTCCCTATCTTGACAAAATAGGGGAATTTGCCTTGGGTATGAGCTTCACACTCGTAGTTGAAGCTATAAAGGAGGAGGTGAATGGGGATGTGGAACCTAGGGAAGGCCTCGCCTTTGGTCAAGGATAGCTACAAGCTTCCAAAGAGTAGATTGACCCTTCAGTAGGCCAAGATGGGGAGGTTTGCAGGTCATTTCCTATTACGAAGGTGGACCTGAAGAGAGGGAGGTAGAGGAGGGCTGATGGTTGACAACCTAGACAAGGTATAAAAAAGTGGATTTGATGAGTGGTGGCCAGCCTATTGAACTCAGAACTGTGGTCGAATGGAAGATTAGTGGTCAAGGTCATCTAGGTTAAGGTAAGCCTATTTGTCCAATCCTTCCTTGCTTGACAGAATAGGGGAATTTCCCTTGGGCATGACTGTCGCCTTAGTAGTTGAAACTGTAAAGGTGGGGAACGGGCATTTGGAACCTAGGGAGGGCCTCACCCTTGGTCAAGGGTAGCTACAATCTTCCAAAGACAACACCTTTGGGATGGGGATGGAGAACAGCTGGTGCAAGGGGAAATGCCTTTCTAGTGTTCTAGTGTGTGGACCCAAGCATTTTTCATCTCCCATAGCACTAGGGTGGCCTAACTCCGGATGGGGTTGACCCTTGAATCTCATCCCCCTCCCTGGCCCTTCCCACAGTGGGAGACATTGCTTGGGCATGAGTAGTTTTGCAAGCCTTTGCACAAGTAACATAAGGTGGTTGAAACCTTTTAGGAGGATGAATGGGCATTTTGAGCATAGTTAGATAGAGAACACTTGTGCAATGCAAATGATTGCATCCTCATGGGTGGCTACACGTGGGACCTGATTATTGACCGGCGGAAATGGTCAACTCCCCTCCTAAGGTTGCCTAACACTGAACTGACTGAAGAGAGTGTTGACCTAGGGGGTAAATGACAGGATAACAACCTTGGTTGATCTCCTCAGAACATGCTTACTGGATGCTTTAAGTTGTGGCCATGTGCAGATAGACATTTGCCATGGTTGCTGGCTCTAGAAACACTGATTAAGGACAGTTTGTTGCAAATGACATGCCTAGTTATCCTAATTTGTGTGTTCTTTCTTGAGATTAAGCATTCGTAGTATATTTTCTCCACCAGCTGTAACTTGTTTTAGATGGTGTAGGTAATATTCTGGTTGCTGAAGAGTAACTTCACCTGTAATCTAGCGCTGATGGCAACCCAAAATAAGATGGATTAAGTAGTTGAAGACGTTCAATTTTTCCATTTATTGTTGCTTCAAATGCAAAATGTATTGGATAATACTAGAAGAAATTAGGATGTGAACCTGGAAAACAAAGGAATGAAATAACATTTTGTAAATATAAATGATTAATTTTCTTTTTCTTTTTCCTTTTTTTGGTTGATAATCTACGTTTGGGCTCAAACACTCATGTCATGGGCTATTCTAACTTAAGATGTTCAGTTGGCTGAAAAAATTTACTGATGGTTGGGGATGGAACTTTATGCCCTAGGCTATTGAAGCACTTTTTCTTGGTTGATTTTTTTCTTGACTTCAGCAAACACGGGGTCAGTAAAAACAGTGGCAAATATCCAAATGAGAAATTATGCAGACAACTAGTGATACTTCTTTAGCATAGTTCCCAATAAACTATAAATAAATGCAGAAACAAAGCGTTTTAACTTATGTTGGATGATTACTCTTAATGCAAAATCAGGATAATAGTCCCTTGGGCGGCTGATTTTTCTTTGAAGGAGAACCACGAAGGTAGTGCAAGTCTTCTTGATATATTCTCATTGCAATTTAGATGTCCCAGCCATGAAAGTTATATTGACGAAAATTAATAAAGATTGCATCCCTCCGGACCAGAGCACTTTGGCTACATGAGATGTATGAGCTGTTATTGACATACACAATTTTCACACACTCATATATCTAAAGCCAGAATTATAATTGCATCGTTTAAAAACTGTTTTTATTACCTTACCTTTAGAATTTTTTAACTCCATTACAGATTGTCTTAAATCTTTTGAGGCGAGCTATTCTTTTCTAAATTTGGCACCAATTTTGCAGACTGAACCTAGTTGCATAATCATTCTTTTAAAATTTGGTACCAATTTTTGCAGCCTGAAGCAACACAATGGTGAAGTTAATGGTGGTGCAAAAGCATCTCGTGCGGGAAGGCCGTGGGTGTGTGCATGCCTTATAAAAGGTTTTCGTGACAAAAGTGAAGGTATCATGGAACTCAAAGTTGTTGCATTTGAGAGATTATTACTACTTAAAACCTGTGACTTGAAACTATAAAATTTCCAAATGCTTTTAGTTGAATGGTAAAATCTTCTAGATTGTTGTACTTGAGGATTTTATGTATACTATATAGTAATAAACATTAATGCATAAAATCTGAGTCACATTCAATTAGCATCCTAAACATTGGTTATGGAACAAGCTCTGTACTAAGTTTAAAAATTATTAGATCATTATTTTAATATGTCATTTTAACTGAAATTGTTTCAGTAAAGTGATTCTGACTTGAAATTCACTTCTAATATGGAGCTCATCACACTATTTTAGCTTTTAATAACCTTTGACTGAACTTAATCCAGATTTCCAAATAAAATAACAATGCACTTTTTGTTATTCTGTCAAATGTAATTTTTTTTTAGACGTTAAACATATTTTGTTCTGGCAAATAAACTCTCCTCTAATTTTCTGCCCCTATCCTTTGTAAAACCAAAAAAACAGAAAGTCTTGTCCAAGCCCGGAATATATGCGGAAGAAACAGTTGTAAAATACGATTGTTATTTACAATTATTTGCCTCATTGTCCTATTTTTGCATTTTTTGCCTCATGGTCTTATTTTTGCATTTTCCATTCTGAGTGTGTTTCTCCAGATGTAATTTACTCGTGTGCTTGGCAAATAGCTGCTGTGATTTCCAGGGTTTAAGCAGCTAACAGGTTTTGACTTGTAGGCAGAATTTAGTTAAATAAATGAACTCTGGGGAATGTCAACTGGTTGAATGTAGTTTTCCATTTTGAAATGGCTCCTTTTTCTTTTTTTGTTCCTAAAGGGCTCGTCTCTAGTCAATATTTTCTTAAAGGGCTCTTCCCAAGGTTGGGAAGGATTGGACAAACAATTCCAAATGTATATTTGTTTCAGTTGGGTGTATCATCTAGAAGATAACATCTAAAGATCTATGCGTTTCAGAATTTAACTCTGATGTAACCTTTTCCTTATGGTTGTTTTATACCCCACAGGTTAATATTCAGATTGATCTACAGTAAATTATCCCAAGGATTTCAGTTTCTGTATCCTGTTGGTTCTCAAATTGGGAAACCTTTTCAATTTCGCTGCCCAAAAAGAAGCTTCTGGTTTCTTTTTTACTCTTTTGTTTCAACCATTTTCCTATGCAAATAGTAATAGTGTATGCTCATCTGTTAGACAGGATTCTAGACCAGCTCAGGCAGATTGATAAGAACATTGTCTTTCATGCATTGTTCAAGACACCATGCTCTTCAGATGGCTGACAGGCACTTTCGGGTCCTCCCCTCTAGCTCTTCATCTTGCTTTTGATTAAGCATGTTATAACTGCAAGGCTTTGAAGGGGATACGCAGCTGCAAATGGGACAGGATAAGTCACCATCTGGTGCTGCTAATTTTGGGGTCTCAATGTATCCAGCAATATCCCAGCTGGTTCATCCAACATAAATCATCTCAGATAGACTGGTTTAAGATTCAGGTTTCTCATCTGAAAGCTACTAGTTCTTGCTAGTTTGCTTGTTTCTTGAGATTTTTCAAGCGTGGATAGATGTGATGGAGTACACCTCAAGTCAATATGCATGCTGATACTTTGTATACTTGCACTCTGGTTGGGTGGTCCTATTTCATTCATATTGCTCTGCAGCCCTAAACTTAGACCCTCTGTATTTGTAAATTCACCAAGAAAATCGAAGAGAGTAGAACTGCTATTTTTTGCCTAACTGCTTACATTTCAAAGTAAACAGAAGTGAGAGTAAAAGTAAATCAATAGAAATGATTGTGGTTACAACTTTTTGAATGTTGATTAAGACTTTATATTCCTTCCTTTAGAAAGTGGGGCATTGTTCTGCTACTATTTTGGCTATTCCTGTTAACTTTTCAGTTGAAGCTTCCAATTTCTGCTCCCTTTTGAAAGCAGCATTACCACCAAGTTCCCAGTTCCCAAAAACACCATTGTTCTTATTGTCATCAAGGGTACATTTCTAATGACTTATTGTCTCAACTTTTTGCAGAAATCACGGCTCAAATTGCATTAAAAAGACTAATGAGATTGCTTATAGATTTTTCTGAGACTTGGTCAAGAATTTGAGATCCCAATGCAATTGAGTAACCCTAGTGGCTAGTACCCCACAATACATAAAGCAACAACAATATATTGAAGTCATTAATAACTTCTCCTGTTTCCTCATTTTGTTAGGTGGGATTTACATGTTTTCTTGAGTCAATGATGCAATTCTTCAATAAACAGATACAAGACAATGTGAAACTTATTATATGCTTTATCATGCCACCATTTCATCTTTATCTAGTTCTAGTTTCGAAGATGGTGTAAAATGAAAGAATCGGTCGTCTAACGTGAAAGCTACATTGCTGCTTGCAAGCGCCAACTTTGTATGTCCCATCAGTCACGGGGTATTTCTTCAGAAAGTTATGTCTTAGGCCATTTTTGGCTCTCTTATTGGACTTATATTTTCTGTCCGAGCATGTGAAAAGGAAGCCTAATAAAATAAACCTACTTCTAAGGCCCTGTTTGGAATGTAGTTTTCTGGTGAAAAATTTTTGCATTTTTGATAAACGCATTTTTTAATCACATTTTTATTTCATATACATTACATCCTGCTTAAAAAGGTGCTACAATAATTTTTTCACAAAAACTCTTGAAAAATTACAATCCAAAAGCTCGCAAACACATTCTTAGGCATCTGTGGATAAACATGCATTTATGTCGTGTTATAATATTCTGTTCCCTAAACAAGGGATAAAGGGTTTTTTTTAATAATCTCGTCATTTTGCTAAATATGCATTTTGCAGGGCATCCTATACTTTGAAAAGATGGGTTGTCGAATTTTCATGATGAGTCATTTTCACGTTTGAGTGTGTTTGGATAAGACATTTTGTGAAATTTTTTTTCTGAAATATGATGTGATATATGTTATATAAAAAAAGTAACTGAAAAGTTAAAAGATAATTGAAAAAAACATTTATGATATAAACAAAAACTTTATAAAAATAATTTCCAATTAAAAAACCCTATATTTTTTGTTATTATATTTCATGAGAACACATAATAGAAAAGTATGTGTACTTTTGCCTCATATCCTTATAAAAAATTGATCTAGAAACTACAAATTCATGTTACATACTTAATATGAGTTGAGTGATTTCTATTCACCAATCGATATGAGATTCAGTCATGGCTATTATAAAGTACATATATTTTCCTCCAAACTTGGATAAGAATTCATATTTAGCATAGGCTAACTTTTTTATGCACTGCCAATGCATAAAATTTGTTACATTAACAGATTTAGACGTGCCACATAATATTAATTCAAAGTTGAACTTCAAATCATACACATGTGGCATACGTTTAAAACTGCTAATATAAAAAATTTACTGCATTATCAGTGCATAAAAGATTAATTCTTTAGTGTATATAAAGACACAGTGAGAGATTACCAGGTTTGCTAGGGGAAAAAAAATAGATGAGAGATTTAAATCATGATCTTTTATGAGGAATGCAATCATGGTAATTTTTTTTTTTCCCAAATGACTAAAGTACAAAATTTACTTTACATATAGCTTCCTTCATATATATGATATGATAGTTGGAAAACAAGACCTTATTTGCATCTTCAAGTTAACAAGGTGTCAATGCTAAAATCATTAGACACTTGGACTAAATTGCTTTAGGAAATCAAGTGGGAGAGAAAGTCGTTCATGTCTGGCACTGATTCATTTTCTTAGTTATTCTTTTAAATTACGTTAATGAACATTCTCTGACTCTTTAAACTCAGAAAAGTATTACAATTAAAAAAATGCACTAAAAACTAATTCGGACTGAAAGATTGTTTTGACACATTTTTTCTATAATTACGTGAATAAGAAGGCAAGTTTAATTTACTACACATTTTTTTATGTATATAGTGCACGAGTAACAAATTTGGTGTAAAAAAAAAAACTGTCATTATTTGTTACTTTGATTCTACCATTGCATTTGCATGATGAAGTATTATACAAATAGTTAAATACAACTCTCTCATATTTCATTAAACCATTCTACATGGAATGTGTCTCATCCACTAATATTTACTGTAATGTAAACCCCTCCCATGGCTGCAGTGGATCATTTTCCTTTCCTTCTCTTTTGGCAAAACGTTACTACCAACTCAGGCAGTCACTAACGTACCTAAAAGGCATTTAATAAATTACTGCCATTATTACAGCCATTCATTAAGGCTTCTTCTTTTACTTCTTCCTAATCAGATTCATTAAACCAAAAAGGAATTTGCCATCCTCCCCAAAGTACAGGCAAGTCCTGCCCTTGCAGAGTTTCACTCCAGTAAGGTTAACAGATACTATATAGATTGACCTTGGGACCAGAACCTCACCTTCATTTTTGCCCTTCTACTTTGGTCACCACTAAAAATCACCCCCATCCCCCAATCTTTTTTATTTTTTTTGTGGGAAAAAATTCCCCCCTTTGATCTTAAATTCTATGATTGGGTACTCGAAGTTCACGTGTTAATTAATTGAAATTAAATAAAAATAGTAAATATAATATATATTTACATCAAGAAAGTGTTGATCTAATTGTAAAGGGTGAGATCCCACGTATAGTTCAAAATCTATTTTCTCTATTTCCATTTCCTAAATTTCACTAATATTTTTTACTTTGTATTTTAGTATAAATTTAGTATACCAACCAGTACAAATGTACAATCTAACGCCCCTTGATAATCCCTTCTCTAATAAATGCAAAAATTGTAACTTGGCTCCAGCCATATTAATCCTGGCAAAATCTTGGGATTCCATTTTAATAAAAGGCAGGGCCAACTACCCCTCAACCCTGCATCCACCCCATCTCTCCCCTTCTGCTTCCTTCCCACCTTTTCCAATTTACATACTGCCAAGGCCAACAAACCATCATCAAATTGTCACCAAACTGCAATCCCAAAAACCTTTCTTTCTTTACTCCAAAACCCCATAAAAGCTTTTATTGAAAGGCAACGTTCTTGTTTTTGGCTTACACCATAGGCAAAAGCATTCAGTCTTGATGGGCTATCTATCATGTAAAGCAGAATCAGCAACTTTAACCTCCAATTCTCACCTTCCAGCTTCGTCTAAGAAAACCCATCAAGTTAATTCCCAAGAAAAAACAAAAGAGAAGCCTGTCAAGATCCAAGAATTTGACTACAGTGATCTTGAAGCAGCCACCAATGGCTTTTCTGAGCAGAAACTGTTAGGCAGAGGTAGCCATGGCCTAGTTTACAAAGGGGTTCTTCGCAGTGGGCGCTTGGTTGCCATCAAGAAGCCTGCAAGAGGGTCAAGAATCTCCTCCACATCAGAGAATTCAGAAGTTGAGAATGAGATTGATATTCTGTCAAAGCTGCAGAGTCCAAGACTGGTAAATCTTGTTGGTTTTACTAATAGTGATTCTCATGGTCGCCTTTTAGTTGTTGAATTTATGAGTAATGGTACTCTTTATGATGTTTTGCACTCGAATTCTCGCCCTCCCACTTGGGGTAGAAGAATAAAATTGGCATTACACACTGCAAACGCTATCGATACTCTTCATTCATCAAGTCCCCCTGTCATTCACCGTGATATAAAGTCTGCCAATGTGTTGATAGATAGGAATTTTAATGCCCGGTTAGGCGATTTTGGACTAGCCTTAAGATGCCATGTTGACGATTATAGATTGAGGTCAACTCCCCCGGCAGGTACAATGGGGTATTTGGATCCTGGTTATGTGACCCCTGATAACTTGAGTACTAAAACTGATGTGTTTAGTTTTGGGATATTGCTGTTGGAGATTATTAGTGGGAGGAAGGCTATTGATGTGGGGCATTCACCGCCTTCCATCGTGGATTGGGCAATTCCATTGATTAGGAGAGGGAAGCTTGTGTCTATTTATGATCCGAGGATTCCACCCCCTAGGGACCCTTTGGTGAGGAAGCAGCTGGCGGTAGTTGCCGCAAAATGTGTGAGGTCTTGTAGGGAGAGGCGGCCAACGATGAAGGAGGTGGTTGAATGTTTGAGTGGGTTGAGTAAGTTGGTTCCCTTGCATTCTTGGAATGGTTTGACTAATCCTTGTTTGATGGTTGAGACTGTTGGGAGACCTGTCGAGTCAAGGAGTAATAATGTGAATGTGAAGGAAAAGGGGGATGAACAAGGGAATTTGGATGGAGAAGATGGTGCATTACTTGCAAGAGCATTGAGAAATTCACGGAGAGTGTACTCTGATCTGGGATTTAGAAGTAATTTGATGGATTTATTGAATGGGATTCATGGGGAGTCTGAATTTCCAGAAGACAACAGTGGGATTAAGCCTTGTGAGCAACCTGAGTCTGGTGGTTTTAGTTGCAGATTTGAAAGTGAAAAATTCGTTGGCAGAAAAAGCAATCTGTCTCTGGTCTGCGGCATTGACAAACTTGGCGCTTCGCAACTATCAAGAAACCATACAGTCAGCGAAAATACTTCAGACAAACATTCTGAAGGGAATGCTACAGTTCTGTGATCCATTTTTTTGTACCTCTCTGTAATCTGTAATGCTTTTCCAAAGGGCCATTTGAGGTCCCTTAGTGATTCGGTAACCAAGCGAAGCTCATGTTTGTAGCTTCTCTTGCTTTCAAATCGCATTGATGTAGATTATTTGAGGATTTCAATTAATTCGCTTCCTTTTTGTTTTTTACAATGTAAGTGCATGCGTTGGGCCAACAAAGAAACTAGTAGCTCAAGGGCACACACATTGATTGTATGTTCTTTCTCATTCCATTCCACTGAATTGATTGATCAAAGCTCATTAACAATGGAATTGCTGTACAAAGTCGATAGACATTACTTTATCTTGATTCAAACTCTGCTTTGGTTTTATTCTTCTGTAGTTCAATGCCCTCATTTAAGGAGGAGCAAAGAGACAATTCAGGCATCCTAGGCTAGAAATCTGTATTAAAAAATGGTAGCTTCGTCAAGAAAACCTTGCTGGTTTGTAGCGTAGACTTCTATTTATCTGATACTATACCATTGGGTGGTTAACAATGGTTAACTTTTCTTTTGTCATTCATTCCTTATTTATATCACAGGGATTTGTATAAGGTACCTTCAGTTTGTTTTTGATTGAATATGTATTTGTTCTTGTATTCTTTTATTTGCCTAAATTGATGAACTTTTTTGAAGCTCTTAGCTGTATCTGCAGAAATTACCAGTGATTTTTGTTGGCCATATTTCTTGTATTCATCGTTTACGACTCTCAAAAACTTCCTTCGATCATGTATTCTCTTCGCCCTTCTTCCGCAGATACGACATTGGAATAATGTCACTGATTTTCTTCAATCATGTTACTCAGTTCCCTCATAAAACGATTTTGGGTTCATTCCATTTCTTATCCTAAACAAAAGTTTCTGTAACGCCAAGATTACTACTAAGATGAGATATAAACCTCACTATCGAGTTTTGGTCCATACAAAAAAAAAGTTAAACAGTCCCTAAGCCTCAGTAAAAGTCTTTTTCTTTTGGTATTATCTGAAAACGGGATAAAAAAAGAAAAGAAAAGAAAAGAAAAAGTCCTTGGTCTTTCAGTTGGACGGCTTATCACATGTTCCCTTCTGTCACTTAATTCAGCAATTGATAACCATGTCATTGTGGAGTTGTATTAAAATTTGATATTGAAGCGTGTAGAAAGTTTCCTTTGCTTCAAGTACTTCCATTTGGTGAATCGGGATGAATTTTTGACACGTTTGGTTACTTGGTGAAGTGAGAATTTGACACGATCTTCCAAAACATGTTTTTCAGTTGTTGAACAAATCTTCTTGTTTGTCATGTCAGATTAATATACTCTTTTTTTGTTTAGTTTCAAACCTGACATAGGTATAATGACCATGACTCTTTCAATAATAATCTCATACTTCCATTTATCATAGTTGCCAGTCTTTCAATCTTTAGCTGTTATAGGTAAACACTTAATCCTATAATTAGAAAACTTTATTAACCAAAGTGCAGTGACACAAAGATTCTATGATGAAACAGAATTTGATTTTCTGTACAGCAAGTTTTTGATCCAGAGTTAGATGGAATCTTGTGAGAAATGGTCGACAAGGAAAACTCAACATCATTGTTGTCTTTTTCTTGCAGGCACAGGGGTCACTTGGAATTTTTGATCTTATACACAATATGATAGGTTCTTTTCTTACTTTTGCCAAAACTTTTTCTGCTTCTGTCTATAAGACAAAATGTTTGTACGTTGAACTGGTTTCTGTCCTTTTGGTTTATATTCTTCAAATCATCTTTTCTACCATCCACTATGTATAGATAGGACCCTCATGTACTTGAAGCTCTAAGAACAATTTGCTTGGATTTATCCTTCTGCTTTACTCAAGCATATACTCCTAATAAAAGGTCAGCCCCAGGAGCAGTTCTACGTGTACTACTTAACAGGAATCAGGGCTGCAAAACTCTTCGAATGTAGAAGACAGAAGGGGAGTTTTTTTTTTAGAATGTTCTTCGTTCTCCAACCATCTTTTTACGATTTTTCATGCAAGGACAGGCCTAGTGCTGCAGGTGCCATCGGCATCAAGTTCTAGAAATTTAGGTTTGTTTCTCCTCAATTTTTAAAAGTTTTCAATGATATCCTCGATGAGTAAAACTTTTTGCCCCTCAAAAATTTTCAAATTAACTTCAAAGTCTATACTTGCATGAAATTTCTCCCTTCAAAGAAAATGTGTTACTTCCATAATTATAGTCACTGGCAGATTCTTTTTTTTTTTTGGGGGGGGGGGGGGGGGGGGGAGGGAACGGTCATCCCAAAAAAAAATTCCTTTACGTCTCTCGTTAAAATATTAATATATTTTAGTAACATCTTTATAAAAATTAGAGTTTGCCCTCTCCCTCTCCCCAAGATATTAACAAAAATATAACGATAGATAGACTAAGAAGATATACTTTCAAGTGTATATCTTTTCTAGTATTACTCCCCAACTCTCAATTTTTGGTTCCGCTAATGACTATAGTCATGAACTCTTTTTACTAAAGGTGCTATGGTAAAATCTTTTGAAAAACGTCCCACAAGAATTATCCCGTCAAGTAAAGTTTTCTACATACACTAACCTGCATATGGTAAATATATTGGACATTTGAATTCATCAAACTAAAAACACCGCGTACATTGAACAAAATGCAAGCATTTCCCATTAAGGCATCTTAAGTGCTTGTTTATTTGTGATGTTGATGTTTTGAGGCATTGTATATGATCAAAGATCATTTAATAATTTTTTACAGCTTACAAATTAGAGAGTTGGCCAAGAAAATGACAAGATGTGACCAAGAAACTGTAGTGTTGAAGGACTATCACGGCACCTAACCAAGAACCATCATTGGGTGGAGAGACTAAGGACATATGATGCTTCAAACTTCAAATATCAAGAAAGTGGAAAAGATGGATATTTGGAGCTCACAAAACCCAGAAATTATAGTAGTGTGTCTCTAGCAAATGGCAGCTTCTGTTGAAATATGTATTCCCTTACTTGCAATATGGGTTTACAGCACACATATTTCCTCCCAACAACCATGTGCTTTCTTTCTCCCCTTTGATATATCCAACATTGACCTCATCACAGTTAAAAGTTTCTAATTTATCAAGGTTAACATGTTGACAAGATGAAAAAACATGTCCAAAAACAATAACTTAAAATAAACTCTAGAAAATAGGGCTAATTTTACTTTACTCCCTTTAACTATATTAGATTTTCACTTTGGTTCCCAAATTTCGAAGTGAGACACTGTAGTCCCTAAATTTTAAAATCTATCCCATGTAAATAAAATTTGTTTCACTTTAATCTTTAAAGTATATAATCAAATGGATTAATCTTTCCTGCACTGTTAGTGTATACACCGACGAGGTTGAATGTATGCCACATCATTTGAATTTGAATTTCAACATCAAATTTTCTGTATGTGGCATGCATCTGAACCCGTTAGTGTATACACTGTCAGTGTATAAAAGATTTATCCTAATCTTGTATACTTTACTTTAGAATGTGGGACATATTTTGTACTTAAGTGTGACAAATCTTATACTTTAGGGATTAAAGTAGGACAAATTTGACTCAAGTAAGAGAAATTTTATTCTTCAAGGACTCAAGTATCCCAACTTGAAATTTCAGAACCAAAGTAAAAATTTGAGTATAATTAAACGGTGCAAAGTGAAATTAACCCCAAGGAAGTACTCGGCACTTTTGTAGAACCATCCTTGAATAACATCAGGGCCACATTCATATCAGAATAATATTGACAACAGCACCACTAATAACAATACAGTCTCTTTAGTTTTGTTTTTGGGTTAAATGCGGAATTTTGAGAAAAATCATTAATGGTGCTTGCTTGGAAAAAAAAACAAAAAGAAAATAATATTCTAACAAAACTAATGACTTAACATATATGTACATTAATTACCTTTAAGTTATTTTACAAAATTTAAACTTATTTTTCAGTGTAAGTGGCAGGGGTCAAATTTGGAACCCCTCGATTACACTATCTCCTCCCTCCCCTCCACCATGAATCACCCAACCCATACCCTCAATACAAAATTTAAACTCATACTCTTCTTTAGACTGTAACCCTCTCTCAAGCATGAGAAATTTTTTTCCTGCAAGGAAGTATTTTCTTCATATTAGTGACATTTTTATTGTCTTCAGTGAACTCAAGATTCAAAAAGGAGCAAAAGAAGATCCCCATAATCTCTAACAAATCATCCAAATTTACATTTCATAAAACGCAGAAATTGACATCTTGAATAGCAAATGCACCGCTATTTAATTAATGCACACATTGACTAGAAGATTTTGTATTCAATCTTAATTATGTATTGCATTCATTGTTGTTCTTTTAAAGAAGCAGAAATTAATACAAGAAATTTCAGTTTCGAAAAAAATAGGTATAGGGTATTGGGGCCAAATTGGTTGCCAGTTTAGACACAGTGAAATTTCAAGAATGTTCCATACACTTCAAACAGCCTGTCTCTGCCTACACGTTTATGGCTCCCCTTAGCTGTATGGCCTTCTGGAGCTCAATCTCCTCTCAACATCCGAAATTTGATTGCTACTCAATTTGTTTTCTTCGTGAATCAGTACCATCAATGTATGGTGGGGTTATCTACCTATACTATTGGATTGGATTTACATTAATTTACTAACGTCCCATTTGGAGTTGTCGTGGCTTATAAAAAAAGCACCTCTGACAGAACTGCTTTTAAATTATCAAAGACTGAGCTCCTTAAGTTATGAAAAATTAGTTACCAAATACTTTTGAAGTACTTTTAGTACTCGAAAGTGGCTTTTTTTTTTTTTTACATATTGCAACCTCAAACGGGCTTAATTATTCTATTATTACTATATTACAATTGACGACAATAGGATGCCTTTAAGAATTTTACGCCTTTAAGAATCTAAGAATTTTACGCCTTTAAGTTTCAGTGTTACCTATGAAAATAGCAAGACCTCATTGGTGATTAGTACGAATTATAAGGATAAACATTGTGATGTCTGGCAATAATGACATTATTTCTCCAAAAAAAAAAAAAGTGACATCGTAAGAATTTGTCCCGGAGGCCCCAGCTCATGATCATCATATGAGTCCATCCGCTACTTCCTCTTTTCTCATGCAAATATTCTTGGCCTAATGAATTTAATGCCAAAGCTACTTAAAAACACCGAACAAACTTCAAGCTTTATTTTTTAGAAAAAAATTATTTGCTTCACGAAAAAATCTTAACATTTTATTGAGAAAAGTTACATCAAATAAAATTTAGAATGAGTGAGTTAACGCAACATATTTTACCTTGCAAAAGAGTTCT